ACCTATAATCTCGCTAGACTGAAATCTTTGTAAGTACAGTGTAAATGAACGATATTTCTCGTTTAGAATTCACCCTCCTTAATGAATATTAGAATCAAGCACATACGCTAGCCATTAAAATAAAATAATCAGTGGAGTGGATATTCTATTTCTTTGTTAAGGAAACTATTGAGAGAGTTCATTTATGTATGGATTATTACGTGCATCCTACCATTCAATATGTACTTTTGATTACGATTTATAAAGGTGAACTTTCTAAAAGTATATTAGACTTTTTGAATGTAGTCATAAGATTACTTCAGATTAATAAATTTCCTCCAAACTACGCTTATCCTTTCACTATACTAGACCCTATAACTCTTTTATTTTGACATAAAACGGATTAAATTTTTAGTCATTCAGTATGTCCATTGCTATATTTCGTATTTATTCGGAGGAAAAACTACGCATATATGTAATTTTTAAAAATAAGAGGTTATAGAGACTTTCCTCACTAAAATAAGCATTATCATTGTTAATATTGAAGTTTTTGGCACTTTAAAATATGAGCCTTTTGACAGAGGTTTTATAAAAGTTATGTAAAAATCTGTATAGGCTAATGACTACCAAAATGGCATCACATTTATTGTATCTGAAACGCTTTTATAGAAATATGCTAATATTATGACCAAATGCTATGCCCTTAAACTGCATTTTCTTACAGGCGGGTGGTTTATTTTATTAACTTATATTGGTCAACATTAAATGTTTGCAATAATCATAGAGCTTTATTTCTTTTATTTCTCAATTTATATAGTTTAAAAATACTTACTCTCAAAGCCAGTAACCAATTTAAGTGGTCGTAAGACTCTCAAGGCTCGCAAGGCAGGCTGATTCAGATTTGGCAGGATATAGGCAAGAAGTCTTTAAAAATGATAAAGATAAGACTATCAATTATACTTATATTTTTGAAATAAAATAAAATCTTGAAAAGAACTTTATAGTGGCAAACATTATTTACATTGAATTTGAACATTTCTCTTGAATGTTTCTTACCCTGTAACAACAACAACAAAATCTAAAAGGTTCCAGATATTTCGAAGATATGCTCCATTGTGTAAAAGTAGGCCCAAAGCGACAATTTTTAATTCTGCTTCTACGCAAAATATTCCAAGAAAGTACTTTTCCGTTTGTTCCTGTAAACACATGTAAAATTTTCTCATTATATGCTGGTTTTTACCTAAAGTGATTAACGCTATTGTATATATAATTAAGTCAAATATTATAATTAAAATAAATTATTCTTAGGCAGAATTACTATTGATACGTAGGTAATTTTAAGTTCAACGACAATATACCTAATTTCATATTTAGACTGATGATTTATACATTTTGGATACTATTCATGTACTAAGGTATCAGCAGTGTTAGAAGTGCTAAATAAAAGTTTACAATCCCTTTATTTTGCATCTTGAAAAATAATTTTTAAGATTTAATAAGAATAAGAATTTAAATATCGCTAATAGCTTCATTAATACGTTTTAAACTGTTAAAAGTATCCTTTTTAGAGATAAGTCTTTTATTTAATTTTATTTATTTGGTAAAGGTATTATTTAGCCATTCCTTTATATAGTTACTTATGTTTGCATAAATTCAATTTAGTTTATATATATATATATATATACATATATATTTATATCTTAGTTATGCTTATACTATGTGTTCTTTAATAAATGAGTAAAGACTATAAAGGAAAGTAAGCTCATTTACTTAGAAAATCATAATATTTTCAAAAATTTTAAAGTAGAAGATCACTGAGCTTGGCCTTTTCCTTGATATTTATGCCCGATAAAATTGCATTGATCATGCATCATTGATAGGCACCTATTCTATTGGTGCTAGTTTTTATCTATTTTCTTGTATAGTGGCAAGTACATAGCATAGTAAGGTTTAAAATCAGTGCATAAACCGTAATGTAAATCATTCTTCTCCACTAAAACAAATGAGTATTTGATATAACTGTGATCCATATCTCGCAGATAACACTAAATGGTGATATAATTTATATTTTTATACTGTCTCTGCAAGATCACGTGTATCAAAAGGCCTCAGTAAAGCATCATCTATGCATTTCCTGAATAAATAAGTTTGCAACAAATAGAAATAAAATGTGTAGAAATTTAATAAATTAATGATTTATTGTCATTATTAATTTTATAATAGCAGAGGGGAAAGCAAGGAACTTAGTTAAGACACACTTTGAATCTTTAGCAGTGATATAAACTATATTTTTGCCTTGATTTTACAAATGGGCTAGCTGAAGAAGGCTAAAATAAAATGCAATAAAAGCACTTAGTTGACACAATAGTAATTAATCCATCCTCTTTTGACATCTTAAGTCCAAAAGTTCTCAATGACAGTCACAGTATTTTGACAATAATTCCATTCTCAAAAGTTATGCCTAAAGTGTTACCACCTTTAGTATAGTAATAGGTTAAGTTAAATGAAATATTGAAGGCCAAAATTTGTTTCCTTTTATTGGTTTCTAAATAAAGAGAAATAGTACCTAGTGGAGAGAATTATAAGTTTAATTAAATCAGAATTAAAAATTAGGGGGAAGATTTTATGAACGTCATAAATAAATTAGCTTTCATTATTTAGATTCTTTTGGGAAGGTTTAAATGACAAGAAGTAATTAGGGTCTTATAGGGAAATAAGTAATAATACCTATTAATCTAAATAAATAAAAAATCGTGATCAATATTAATGCGATATAAAAATTTACTCCATAATTTAAAATATATAAAATTTATCAGTTATAATAATCTGTTTAAATTTACTTACTAATTTTTCTGACAAAGGAGTCTTATCATTATGTGGAAGATGCTTTTCCATTGCTAGAACAATGCAGTTGGCTATTATGGTCAACAAAACCATATACTCAAACGGCGTATAGCAAAAAGAAAGAGCGATATATGAGAATATCACGATAGTTCACTTATTAAGGAGAAACGCTCACAAATTGATGCGATTAGAAGAAATTTAGTCATATAAATTAAGACGGCAGTAGAGAATTTAAAATAATTTCTGTACACAAATCTTCAAATAAAATCAAGGATAATTTATAATATTAAGAAAGCAATTTAAAATAAGAGAAATCTATTTTTATGCAAAAAAATAAAGAACAGGAGAATTCACTTTTCAATAACTTAATCGAAATTTTCAAGAACAAATGCTGTGGCATTTTGTATGGTCGCCGTCTCCTTCCGTTGTATAGAAGTTGTTTGACCTTGTGTTCTCAACTTGGTCATATTGGTAGGAAGGCTTAGAGGTATGAGCCTTTCCGGAGTCCACAGTATGCTTGATAATTTCTTGAGTCAGACCAGAGTCATCTGGTACATTCTCAGACGTTTCCCCGGCATCGTCAGTGAGCCTTGCTAGTCTTAGCAATGCACTACATCTCGTTAAAAAGACAGGTGAAGCCTATCCTTTTTATCAAATGTCTAATAAGCAATTGTTGCATTTTTTTTCTTTTGATCTGGGCTATTCACCATTCCTATATCCTCGTATCGCCCCTTCAATATCACAATTTCTTATTAAAATGTGGCATGGGGTGTCCTTTTTAGTGGATTTCACGAGAACGCTGAATTTCTCACCCGCTTCCCCCGCAATCCTCTTCCCATAGGTCTTATCAAAGTCTCCCTCTTGCCACGTAAGATCCGCCACTTACCTTCCTAGTTCAGTTATTTAACTCGACAACTGTCAACCTATCTGTACTACTCAAAGCGTTATTTCTCAAGCTGTCCCAAGCATCTGATGGCACGCATACTCCCACCTCGCTGAGTAGGATCCAAAAAGTAAGGATTCTCATATTGGATGGGAGATTAACTCGATGCTAAAGTTCCCAAGTCATTCTCATAGTCAAGTCATTTTTTATGGACCACATTCATGATCAAACACGTCTACTGTTGGCCAATTAGCTCTAGTCTCCGCCTCATCTATTCG